ATATCCTAACAGCACAGTGGGTGTATATAATCTTCATGGACTGCATTCATGTAGGCCTGCACCACCACATCTTGAGGGGAATTAGGGATGGATTATGAATGCTTGCCTACACAGCAACATCCATGAATGGATATAAATAATAATAATAATATATAAAAATGGGTGTTGAAGTGATATTTTCATGGTTGCTTGGGTGTCCTCATACTACTGCCAAATTGTGCCTTTGAAATGTCTGAAATCAAGCACCCAGTGAGAAAAAGCTCCTAAATGTCTCCAGTCTCACATCTGATATGTATCTATAGGTGTAATCTGTTAGAAAAGGAATTTTCCCATTTGGAAAAGAGCATTACAGTCAATCAAGGTCCTGTCAGTGTACCATGACCCACATATCTTCAAATCTTTTTCCAGGAATTCATCTAACTCTTGTTTTTTGATAAAGTTAATTCCCAATAGTCCCCTTCATTAGTCCCTTCCATACACTCATCATAATTTGTGTAATGTCGATATTGCATTTTCATTCCATTTTCCTAATGCAAAAATCATAGGATAGTTATAATGGGGAACTTAATTTTCTGATTATAGTCTGGGATAGAAGTAATATAAAGGGAAATGAAAGGGATGATTCCTGGAATATGGTCAAGAGAATTTTCTATATTGGTATGTTTATTGCCCAATGAGAAAGAAAGCACTACTTGACCTGCTTCTTGGCATGAGGTAGGCCAAGCCAATCATCAGTGGATGAATGTTTGTGATAATTGTATTGTAAGGTTTAGGCTGACTGTGGAAAAAGACACAAACAACACAGAGTTAGAATAATTAATTGGATGGAAGCCAACGTCAATGGGGTAAGGGCAGATCTGAGTCAAATAAATTGAAGTCAAAGGCTTGAAGGAAAGACTATAGCTGAACAATGGGCCACCTTCAAAGTAGATTTTAAATTTATGTATTTGTCACATGTACTGTGTATAAGAATACATAAGCACAGCGAAAAGTGCACAAAGTCGCCATTCTCTGGCACCTACTTGGTTACAAAAACAAGAATTAAAAGATTTAGCAGAGCCAAGTGGTAAGTAAGAAAGAAAAAAGTCCAGATCCCAGATTCCCAAGCTCCACCTCCATAATGATGCAGATGCTTCCCCAATCACCAGGACACCCTAGGAGGCCGTCGCCACTGCTGTGTGAAAGGCCCGCTCTTGCTGTCGCTGCCACTGCCCCATTGGCCTGCTCTCGCCACTGAACCGGCCCACTCTTGATCTGCCATTTGTCATCCTTGCCCACCTTGACCCGCTGCCGCAGGACACACCCTGCAAGCTCAGCCCCGCCATGCGGCCTATGGCCGCGACCCAACTCCTTAGGTAGGTATAGGTAGGTAGTTAAAAAGACGGGAGGTGGACGGGATAGAATTGCCATGACCCGAATCCTTAGGTAGATAGTTAAAAGGGTTGGGGGTGGCGGTGATATAATTACTGCAGAGAGGAGAGAAAAGAAGAGAAAAAAATAAGGAAAAGGAAAGGGAACGGGCGAGCACAGTGAAGCTCTGAATGGAGTGACTTACCCTGCTGCTATCTTGCCTCTGGCAATAGAGGAATTAAGGCATAGTCAATTTATAATCGTTTAAAAGTGATAGATACAGCAAACAAATCTAGAGCTCCCTGGATGTCAAAAGAGAAGAAAATTAAGGTAAGGAAGAAGAAGTGTGCTTATGACAGATGACAGGCAGAAATACAACTGAGACCAGGCTGAATATGAAAGGTTCAAAGGGAAAGCAAAAATTCAAATAAGACAAACAAAAAGGGAATATGAATAAAAACCAGCAGCTAACATAAAAGAGAATTCCAAAATCTTCAATAGGCATATCAATAGTAAAAGGTTGGTAAAAGGAGGGGATGATTAGGGATGAAGAAGGGGATTTACAGATGGCAAAGGGCATACTGATGTGTTGGTGATTATTTTACATCTTGTTTACCAAGGAAGTAGAGGAAGAAATTAATGCACGAGAAGATTTTAAAGGGATTAGGTGGAGGTATTGAATAGTGCATGTTCCAAGAGGCAAATGCAACATCTGTTTATTACATTTCTGTTTTCTTTTGGTTCTTAAATAAAAGTGAATGTTTTGAAGCAATTTAAGGTTTTTTTGTATGGAATGTTCCAAAGTTGAACAATGAACGGTACTTAGGCTACAGTGGGCATTGGGGAAAGAATAGCAGTAACTTAGAAAGGGTGGCTACGGACAGGTAAGATGTATGGCTTGGTACGTAAACAACAATGGAAGTAGAAAATGCAATTGTATGTATAAGGAAGTGTCAATTGTGCCATTTATGTGCTGTGAGAAGCATTGTGTTGTAAATGCTATTCCACTATGTGCATGGTGAAGGGCCATTCTGGACTGCCAGTGCTTGATTGTGTGTACATCTGTGGTTCAAACATAGTGCCAGCACTGGGGACCTTGGGATATTCTGGGAGTGGTGGATGCTTACACCTATATTGAGTGGGAAAATCAAGTTAGAATTGCACCAACTAAGCACCATAGCAGCATGGTACCCAATTAATGAGGGATGTTTAGGATATAGTGCAAGAAAACCTGCTAAGTCTTGTAGATAGACGCCCTCCATGAGCCTCAAAGAAAATGACACTTAACTGATTTCTGGTAAAATTCAGCCCAGTAATTTGGGACAAAATTAATAGTCACATGGACAAATGAGAGTTAGTTAAAGAAAGTCAGCATGGATTTCTTCGAGGAAAACCATGTTGGTTATTAAGTCTTGGAGATTTGAAGGTAGTAGGGATTAAAATTGTCACATTTGGTATAATATTTCCAATTTATACAGCATTATTTCCCTGTCTGTTGAAAGAATATGTATAAAAATCTCCACATTAATTTTGTTCTTGTCCTTTGTTTTTACTCCGTATCAGTTTCATTATTTTCCTGATTTTAAATATATAATTTCTGTTCTCTGGCCTATATTGGTTTCATAAGTAAGGAAAATCTTTACTTTTTCATATTGACTTTAAACCGTTACGTACTTGCATTTTTGCCAACATCAGTCTCCTTTATATTCTACTGCACTTTTTTCTAACTGACGTATGATCATTTTGAATTGCCACCTCTCATTTATGCCATTCCATTCTAAACGCCTCCCAGTCGATCACCTTTATTTAGATTGCATCTCATTCCTCAGAAGTTCCTTTTCAAATATTGATTTTGGATAGTAATGCTTTCCTTTCTAGTGCCAGCCTGTTATTTAAAACTGTACTTTGGTTACAGTTTACCAGTTTGTTCTCTTGTTACAATTTGCTCCTGACTTGTGGGATATTGCAAAACACGAAGTCCAATGTAATTTCCTCCTTGCTGGAAAAACCTTCAAACAAGTGCCTTCTAATGCCCATGACAGCATTTTCTACAGGATTTACTAAACTCAGTCATGTGTGATAACCAAGTCATACAGCACAGGAGGAAGGCATTGGACTCATTATGCCTGCCTGGAGTGAAAATTGCAATGATTTCAAACTTCTTGCGATATCTGAAGAATCCACACTTTTTCACTGTTTCCTACATCACAACAACAGCTATATTTCAAAAGTACTTCACTGATCATAATGCACTTTGAGACATTTTGAAATCATGAAAGACGTTATATACCTGTAAGTTTTTCTTTAACTTTAATCAAATTTACTCTGTTATAGTAAACATTGGTCAGTTTAAAAAGCCCATTCTGCTGATGGTTATGTTTCACACAAGTCTCTCCTAGCTCTTTTCATCTCTTCCAATCAGCATGACCTTCTATTCCTTTCTCCTTCATTGGTTTTCCAGCTTCCTCCTCAACTACTTCTTGTCGTACCAACTTCACCTTCAAAAATGCTGTTTTATATATAATTCTAAGGAAGAATATATGCTTGAAGCATTACCTTACTTTTTTTCTGTGCAGTTGGGTAATAGATTGGAGAAGAGCAGATTTTGAAGGGCTGAGAATAGAACTTGAGAAAACAAAATAGGCAACAATACTGAGAAACAACAACACAACAACAGTAGTCAACATTTAAAAAGGCAATCATCAGACAACAGGCAACATATAATTAACAAAAAGAATAGAGCAAATTAAATTCTATGCGACTTCATGGATGATAAAAGGCACAAGTGAACATATTAAGTTAAGAAAGAGGTATTTACCGAGTACATAGACAGCAGAAGAATGAATGATAGAAGAATATGGAAGGAGTAGGACAGAAGTCAAACACCATTACTGTTCACAATTTACATGAACAACCTAGACTTTGGAATTAAAAACACAATGTTTATATGTGGAGACGGCAGCCAATTGGGAATGTTAGTTAACACAGAAGAAGTCTGTATTAAAGCTGGACATTAATAAGCTTGCAGATTGGCCAAATAGATGTTAAAGTCAGTTCAATACAAATAAAGGCGAGATAGTATACTTTGGTAGAATAGGGAAGTTATTTACAATTGGGAAGGCACATCTAGTTGGGTTAGAGGACTAAAGGGACCTTAGAGCACAAATATATAAATCACTAAAAGTTGTACCACAGCTTAGCAAGGCCATTTGAAAAAGCAAACGAGAACTAGCTAGGCTTAACATATAAAAAAAAAAGGTTATGCTCAACCTGCACTGAACCTTGTTGGAACTACTCTTAAACTATAACATGAATTCTGGTTACCAGACTATAAAAAGGATATGAAGATACTGGAGAGGATGCCAAGAAGATTTACAAGGATGTTATCAGAAATTTGTGGGTATACATATTGAGAAGAATTGGCAAGCTGGGTTTCCTTTCTATCAAAAAAGGAAAGCTAAAGGGTATCTTAATAGTGGTCTATAGAATTGCATAAGGTTTTGGTGAAGTGGATATAGAGAGGATGTTCCCTCTTGCAGGGAAGTGTGTAACTAAATACTGCCAACATAAGATGGTCGTCGAAAATCCAATAGGGAATTCTGAAAAACATTCTTTTCACAAAGGAACCCATTACCACAGGAAGTGGTTGAAGTGAATAGCATGGATGCATTTAAGGGAAAGCCACAGAAACAGATGAAGAAAATATTTACAACGGTGAGAAAAGATGGGAGCAATCAAGAGTGGAACATAAATTCTGGTATGGACAGGTGGGGCTGAATGGCCTGTTTCTGTGCCATTTATCCTACGTAATCCTATGTCAGATGCTAATGAAACTACTGTGTATTTTCAGCATTTCTATTTTATTTCCTATTTTCTTCCACATATGGCATTGCAGTTTCTATCCCAATTAATCCAAGAGAAAACTTGCCAGGGTGAGTGTATTCTTAAATTTTTTAGCTAGACTGAAAATGCAGTATTAAAAACTGCAGAATTTTGGCCCTGTTGTATAAGTCACTTTTGTTTTCTCAAATCCTAAGGAATGTATTTTCAGCCTTGTGTTTATTTTTGCATTAGAAAACACCCTAAGTATTCCTTTTCTTCCAGAAATTTAATCCTGCAATCTCTGTTAGCAGATGGGTGATTTTTTTTTTCCTTGTGTCCCCACTAAGCAAACATACCTGATGGAAACTGAAAGATATGAGGAACTACTTTGATATTCTTTATGAAATGATTTTATCTACATTTGTCATATAGCTGGTATATCCTTTAACCAAACAAAAATCATGCCCATGCATAATGGGATTTATTTTCTTGTGTAACATGAAGCAATGGATAAAGGGTGCTCATAACACTGGTGCTAGGGTCTCACAATAGGACTACTAATATAAATTATTTGCTTAAAGTTGTAAAAGATCATCATTATTGACATTTTTGCATATATTTGGTGTTTCTGTTATTTTACTGGTCACCATAAGATATTTGTTGACATGAATAAATTGATCTTTGGGCAGATACATTTTCCTTGATGACCTGAAGAGGGCAGCGCGCCATTTCCCTCCCACACTTTGAGCAGCTTGCAATGCAAAATAGTGTCAACATTAAGGGGCAAGGACAACTCTGACTAACAGCAGGCAGCATTTGTCACCCTACCACATCAAATCCTGGGTCATGAATGTTTTAGTATTGAAATCTTACTTTTTTTTCTTGTTATGTAAAGAGTAAACAAAAGAATCAACAATGGGTGAGTATATTGGTTAATCTGGTCATGAGAGAGATGTGCCTGTTTCTATCATGACTTCATTATTTGATATTCTCAATTGATTAGAATATCTAACATGGTGAAAGCAGTTCTAGAACTGATGGGAGTTTTAAACAAGATTTGGAAAAGAGAAGAACTAACTGGACTGATAAATGTAGTGGAAGACTATGTTGTCAAGTTGCAAAAGATGAACCAATAAGAAAGTACAATGCAAAAATAAATAAATGACCATTGACAGCAAGGATGATTGCATATATATTCAAGATAGTGCCTCATCCTGAATTAGAAGCCTGAGGAGCATTAACATCATAGAGTCATACAGCACAGAAGCAGACCGTTCAGTCCAATATGTCCATGCTGATCAGATATCCTAAATTAATCTAGTTCCATTTGCCTGAATTTGGCCCATATCCTCTAAACCCTTCCTATTCATATATGTTTCAGATGCCTTTTAAATATTGTAATTGTAGCAGTCTTCATTGCCTCCTCTGGCAGCTCATTCCATACACACACCATCCTCTGTGTGAAAATGTTGGCCCATAGGTCCTTTTAAATCTCTCCGCTCTCTCCTTAAACTTTTGGCCTGGAGTTTTGGACTCCCCTACCCTGGGGAAAAGACTTTTGCTATTCACCCTATGCATGTCCCGCATAATTTTATAAACCTCTATAAAGTCACCCCTCAAGCTCCGATGCTCAACTTGGCTAAAGAATAAAAGTGGCTATCAGTAAATGGTTAAAGGGTTTAACAAAGGAAAAGGAAAAATAATGTAGAGGAACAATCTAAATATTAAGAGATATGATGTTCATAACATAATCTGTATATTGAACTAAGAATTCAGAATGGACATTGGGCAAACTGATGTTTAAGATATGTTACAGTGCATAATGTATTGAATCAAAAATTGAAAGAGATAAATTAGCAAGTAATATAACTGAAGAGCCAAATTTTTCTCCTGAATGCGTTGTAATTCTGTTAACTATAACAAGAAAAAAAAACTGACAGGGCAATAGATTTAACTTAATGGAGCAGACGTTCTGCTTCAGCAGAATTGGGGCTAATTATTGACATGGTTGAAGCCTTGACTCTTGGTAGCTAACTGACCTCTGACAGAGATCTGCCAGAAATGGGGCATCAATTTGTTATTTTCTACTTCCAAAATCCCAGTGAAATTTACAGTATACTCAAGGAAAGAAAGCTTCAGAATTTGGTCCTTCAGCCCAAGTGATCAGTCTCATTTCTGAATCATTCTGGATTCGTACTGCTGGGATGTTTGAAGAAAACTCCAATGGATCAGGGGATATCAATGTGGCATATTAGTACAAGAATGAGTGAATTACATGGCCTTTCTCATTTCTGGTGGAAAATTCAGCGAATCTGAAAATGCACATGCATGCCATGGACCTGATCTCCATCCCACTCAATTTAATATTTAACACAAATTCCTCAAACACATATCTTCTGCAGCTTTCAGCTTCTGGAGTTTTCTAAGCAACTCGGAACATTTTTCCCAACTGTAACTGCTTTGGAGTTTGCTATTATACTGGCATTTGAGCTGCCATAGACCTGTCTCATTGACTGAAAGTCATACACTGCACCCTATTCTGGATGGTTCTGATTTTCTGAGTTTCTGGACTCCTATTGCCAGACAACAGCATGTTTTTCTCCTTTTTGTTTACTAGTGCATTGAATGGTTCACCTCAAAGATTATCCTTGTAAACAAGCAAATATCTTGACATTTCTATACCACTCACAGAACTCTAAAATTGAGCTAAAGCTATGTCTTTCCCTTCTTAACACATACATATAGAAATACCATTCAAACTTAAAGCAATACATAATTTATTTACTTTAGAATCCAAGTTCTCAAACATTTGAAAACTCATCATGTTAATTTGAAGTTCTATCTCCAAATTTGCTGTCCAACAAGTGAACAGAGGCCATAAAGTTTGTAGATCCAGTTCGTCACTAAAATAATAACATAATCTTTGTGGATATTTTTCACTGTGCTGGTGGAATTATCAGAGCCTCTGATCTGATTGTTACTGGTACAATGCCATGGCCAGCTTTCTGGATCATCTTTGCAACTGCCTTAGCACAGCCTTAGCACAGGAAATTGAGATGATAGTCGATAACACACATGCTCACCATTATCATTAGCATTAATTCTGCATGTCTGGACCCCCCCTGTAAAATCCTGAGGCAAAGTAAATGCTCATGGGGTGAACATAATATTGGGAGCAATTTAACCTTCCTCACCTGGTTTCAGGCTCATGGACTGGATTTGCTACCCATCCGTTAGGACTCCCCATTTCATTAAACAGAAGGTAGAATTTTAGAAAGTCCTAAAACCATGTTTCTCACAAACCTGTCAGTTTTCTGACTGGCAGATTGTTAAAATTGCTTCAAATGTGTTTCTATCACCTTCTCCATGCATTTTGTCTCTGGCAAATAGACCTGTCCGCAAAGGACATTTAAAACAAAATCCCTTAAATGATGATGTGCTTTTCAGGAAGCTGTTAATACTATAGATATGTCTGTTTAACTTACTTAATATAATTCACACGTTGTAATTCTGAGAAACTAAAACTATTATAATATGAAATTGTTGCCAAATTAGCATGAGTAAAAGCTGCAGTAAGTTTGATAATGTAATGTATTGGCCTGAATTTTGCAGTAGTAAAGTGAAACTCACAGCATTTGCTGTCCTTACTCTCAAATGAAAGCAACAAGCTGGTGTCAGCACATGTGCAGTTAAATGCAGAAATTCAGAAGTTGCTGTCAGTGATTCTGCTGCTCCAGAAGGTGCACTGTTGAGGTCCTTTTATACACCCAGGACTGCAATCAACAGGAAATCACTGACCTGCTGAGAAGCTTCACTCTTATGCAATTATTCTCCTGGCAAAATCCTTGAAGAAGATTTTCCTGCTGAATGAACTGTAGCTGAATTTTTAACAGCTTACTAAGTTCATAATTATGGTTAAACAGCCTCATTTGCCGTGAAAAACAAATTTTTATTTGTGGATTGCCAAATCTCTCCATTATGAATGTAAACTAAAGAGAATTTAAAAATGTTGATTTTATTTATGATAGTTTAGCTTCTACCTTAATCTCATGAGTATGGTTCAATATTTATTTTGCTCCCTGTAAAATTTGAACATTTTCACCAAATGATTGTGGTCTTTTTATCAATGGTTTTACTCTCCCATTTTTCTGTTTGTGAAAACATTCAAAGTGATTTGCTGCTTATCCTGTGAGATGACATCACTGCTGGTGGATGTTTGGAGATTCCTTGGACTTGGCACCAGATTTAAGCTGCTATCTGGAAAGGAGATATCTTTGCCAAAGAGAACGCTAGATCTTTGTGGGCAGCTTACTTCAAAGTTGAAAATGATCACCATTGTTTGATTACTGACTACAAACCAGACCATTAGCAGTTCCTGTGTTGCACAATATATATTAACAATTTTTCTTTGGAATCAGTGTCTCATATTTTTATAAGTGTTATGTTAATTTGTTTTCTTCCTTAATTTTGTATTCTGTCTCCGATTTCAACTTTCTTAAACTTGATTCCTAAATGTAAAGAATCTTGATAAACGTAAAAATTTGTACAAATGTTAACAAGCTATAACTTTGTGTAAAGTTGGCTGCAATGTAAATGAGGACATGAATTTTCATCATTGTCTGTGGTACCAAATTAAAGATTCCTCCATTCATAAATTATACATACCTTTCAAGACAGAAAGATAAAGCCTAAGGTTTCTTTTGAAGGAGAGGTGATGGCCTAGTGATATTATTGAGAGGCTATTAATTGTGAGACCCTGGCAATTTTCTGGAGACCTGAGTTCAAATTCTGTCATGGTGGAATTTGAGTTCAATAAAAATCTGGAATTAAGAGTCTAATGATTACCATGGCATTGTTAATTGTCAGACTAAATCCATCTTGTTTGTTAATGTCCTTTAGGGAAGGAAACTGCTGTCCTTACCTGGTCTGGTCTACATGGGACAAAGAACCCATGTGGTTGACTCTTAACTGCACTCTGGGATAATTAGGGCCATTAGAGATGGACAATAAATGTGCCTAGCCTGTGAGGCCTTCATCCTATTAATGAATGAAACAAAGTAGAGACTCTAGTTGCTTTTCAGGCAACTCTGTATTAATAGCCAGATTTTAAAAGCATGTTCACTCTAAGAATATTTTTCCACACACAACTGTTAATGGGTTATTTAAAATGGGTAGTTGGATGACATGTTGAAAGTACTGAGTTCTACTGAACAGCTATTGAACACTAAAGGCAGATGTGTGCATTGAGACATCTGATCGAACGTTAAGTACAATATCAAGTCATCCCTTCCCCTGACCACAAGGGATCTGAAAAATTCAACAGACTTGGTGGATCAATTATTCATCAGAAATTTTAGTAAATATTTTATTTAATCAGGACTAAACATGTCTGTAAATTGTGGCAAATATGATTTTAAGATAAACAAGTCACTTTCTGGACTTTTACAAATGATCCAGAGCAAAGGGGTTTTCAGAATGTCTGCACAAACATCAAAACAAGATGAACATATGGCATTGTCTGACGCAGCTTAAACAAACTCATTCGGCAAGTTGAAGATTTTTTTTTGGCAACAGCCTCCAAACTCTAGTTGTAACAACTTAAAGCTGCCTAAGGGTTTTACAGGAAAATTTGCAAAGCAGACAATTGCTGTTAGAAAAATCACTCACACTGACCATTAGCTGTGTTTTTATGTCAATATATGCACTATGTAAAGTGCTCAGTTTTGCAAGAACAAGCTTTAGTCATTTTGATGTGTCCCCAAAGGCCAACCTAAGGTAGTGTAACTAACTATGAATTAATTTATAATATGTCCCAATTTATAGCAAAATGTGGCTAACTGCCCTCTGGAATTGTTTAGCAAAACAGACAGTTATACCAAAGGAATACAGTGGTCTGAATAGGAAGGAAACTGGATAGCATACCCAGTAAGGGCCTTTTCACTGGAAATGACAACAGCATAACCAACCCAGACAAAGGCAAGACTGAAATATGTGCAAAAATCTTTAGCCAGAAATGCCATTAGATGATCCATCTCA